CATTTCGCACAACAATACATCAGATATATCGAGGTATAACGAGCAATGTTTTCGATATCCATTGAACTTCAATGTGGATCACAGTATTACGGATTGAATACGCAGGATAGTTGTTAACTCCAGGAGTTTATCGAAATCAGGAGATGTTGGGCAAAGAATCACTTTAAGTAGTTAGTATTCTCTTGTTAAAGTTTTGACGTATACATTCAACTTTAGCAACCGTTTAACGTGTAGAGTCCCATGTCTTTCCTGGGGCTCTTACATCTAACAGAGGGTTCTTTACCGTACAGGCCGTAAATCGAAAACGAGTCTTGCCAAATTTTATGCTTTCTTAGTATTCATGCATATTCTACCCGTCAGAAATATTCTTTGTGCTGTTCTATCACTTCGGAAGCCAATTAGCCTCTGCGAGATTTTACGAAACTCTAGGCTGCAACGACATCGTAGCTGTGATGTCGACGACGACATAGCTCCTCATTTATGATATTCTCCTTACATCTGATCCTTACCACCAACAGAAACCATGGTTCGACGAATAAACGCCTCCCAAAGTTTATCTTTATGTATTCTGTGTTGAACGGGCTACTGAAGTGTAACAAAGAACCGGCCTCTGACAAAAGAAAGGAGTGCTGACCACCTCACTCACATTCGCCTTGTTTTGCTAAGGAGTATTATTCTGTCTCTACTTTTCCACTGAAGATTTCTCTGAAGAGCTGACATGAATGAATTTTGCATTCATCATCGTACAGGTTCGGAAGGAATCTACCGAGTTTTGAAAACATGGAGCCCATCTTTGAATTTCTAATAGTTAGCAATTGAATTTCCAAGCTGTCTTCGTAGTTGCGCAGCAAAATTGGGAAACTTCTCCGGACCCTGTTAAGCACATCACATCTCGAGAATCATTTACTGAACAACAAATATTGCTTGCAACAAAGATTGAACCGGAAGTCATAGATGCTTCTTCTTATTCTTCACATAATACCAAAAAAGCCCTAGAGCACTGTGGGCGAACTCAAGGGGTTTAGAAGGAACAGGATGTATAGAAAGGAGATCTCAAGGTCAGAAGCGTCGATAAGTGAAGCACAGCGCGAATTTCTGTTCAAGCATTCGTGACATAAAATTCCAGAGGACCTCGTGTGTAGATTTTGTTATGGTATTCCATCAACTTTTACCACTGGTGTGTTTAAACCGTAATGTTGCTTTTATATCAACAATCTCTCATGTACAACCGGTTCGTATACGATTTTTGGCTTAATGGAGAGCATGGAAATTATGAATGCATGTCCCATCTAAATGTGTCTCCAGGATTCAAAGGAGTGTAAGAAAAACTATGAGTTCGAAATCAAGAATTGTAAAACATCTGCTGTGACTGAGCGAGCGTATTGTGCAGTGGTCAGGAGTACCCGGCAATACACATGTGGTCTTTGGTGTTCGATCGTGCACCTCTGGCTCCTCAAGCCTTCCATGACCCGGAGTCGGGAAATTGGTATCAGACTTGTTTGGAACGATAGCAGTACTAACTTTATATAACTTTATATAGCGGTAGGCCACCTAAGTAATTGCATAGGGAAAAATGCTTTGAATCACCTCTAAGGAAGCCTAATAAAGTCGAATGAGCAGTGCATTCCATTGGGATTGATTAACGCCGAGACCTTTGTGCTTTCTTCTGCACAGGTTTTCACGGTCGCTGTCACGATTAAGGAAAGAAATAAGTGAATGTTGCTTTGGAGCTTTAAGGCAAACCTTTCACAAAATGGCAAATCGAGATGTTTGAGATAATGCGACGGCTTTCTCTGTGGTGTACTCCATCGTACAAAGGTTGTTTGTTATTTCAGCTGCGTAAAAACCCAAAATTATGGAAGACCAGACAAAAAGACTAATAGTACCGCGTGATCCTTTTATTGACTATAACAATTACCCCTTAGCCGTTGGACACAATTCTGAGATTCTCTTTTTATGTGCAGTTTTCGTGGTCATTATCACACATGAGGAGTCTCACGGAATGAACAGTATGTGATAGCGGGATATGGAGAAGGGCAGAGACCTAAGGAATCATTTATATGTTAGTACAATAAAGGATTGTAAGAGAAAGTAAGGACAATATTTGTGAGGCGGAACACTCGAATATTCTTTGAAATATTGAACTTACGTGTAAAAGGGATTGGTGTAGATTGGAATGGAGAGCTGCATTCGGAACCTCCCTTTAATCGTCGATCCTGTTAACTACAAGTGGATATTGTTACCAATAATCCGTTATTAGTAACATTTTTCTACTTACTGGTTCTATGTCGAATATCGCCGGCTCATGTTTTTCGACTTCTGGATGCAAACCTATTGTATTTTCACGAACTTCAGGAGGTGACCAGAGAAAATGTGGTGGAGAGAGAAAACCAGCAAATGGGATCAGTATCTTCCGACCTTAAAATAACAAAGTCGTGTCTATGGACATTTCTTCACATGTGGTTGTTCTCTAGTGATGTTTTGAAGCAATGAAAAGGTTAGCATGGTAAACATGAAAACCTATTTCATTGGGTTCCAGCTTACCGTTTTATAACCTTAAATTACCACTGTACATCAATCAATGGAACTCACCCGGGAGACAGCGCAATGGAATTATTCCAGGAGGCATGAAGACAGTGTTCTTGTAATGCGAACCTTAAGCAGTTATAATAAGAATGTGGCTCGATCTCTAACGATGTTTCGAAATCAGTCTTCGGGGGTTTCGTATTCACTGCGTCAGTGTTGACTGCTTAGAACATTATGTTTGATTAGTTTGTAATGCCACATTTTCTAGAATTTGGCTCTATCGAGCGAAATAAAGGCTGCTACTATTAGTACGCTTTTGCCAGCGTGCTTTAGGCTTATGGAGGCTGTTGGAACAGTGGTAGTGATGTCGCTAATCACAAACACGGCATATGTTCGAAACCTCCCTGGTCTCAGCAGGCGTATCTTACCTTTGGGGTAGGAAAATTTGTAGCAGAGTAGAAGATTTGTATAGGGACAGTTTAATCCATGCAATCGAATTGGAAATGCTCTAACCGGGCCATCTCAGGAGTCACGGGAGAATTCACGGGAACAGAATTCACTGGCATTCATTAGGGAGACGACAACCTTCATGCACCACCTCATGTGTCGTATTGAGCAAAAATTCGTGTTTTAGCAAAAAATGAAGAAATCGCATTAAATCTTACACCCTCACTTCACTACAATAATTTCTCTAGCAGTTGACAAAAGACAGTGCTAAGTTAGAACTTTATTTACTATTTAGGCGGTGGTAGTGCAAGATTGGATATTCTTTCATTCCTCCATAGAAAGATGATTATGGGGGAAAGTAATAAATACCAACGTTTTCCTCGATCAATCCTTCCACGGTAAAAGGGCGAAAAGCCCAAAGAGCCAAATAATCTTAGCAGCTGAAGCAACTAGTAGTGATAACGATAATTTTCTATATGACTGAGATGACACGAGGTTTAAATAAAAACCTTTACTCGGCTAACTTTTTGACCGGTTCTCTTTCTTCAGAGCCGCGTTGATACGATGGGCCACAGTTGGTCGTCGTGACGACATAGGTGTTAATAGCTGCATCGAATCGAATCCAGTGGGGAGAGCACCGCTCGGATGGGAATCCTTACTCGGAGGTGCCTTTTTACACACAAGGCTATTGATCATTTGCCATCCAATATGTTGTGCTATTCCAGTGAAGTTCCCCATTAGGACGGTGTTCCCTCCAGTTGGTTCGATTCGATGCGACGACGAACAACAATGTCGCCACAACTATAAGCTTGGGACCACCGACTCGTATCAAGGCGGCTTTGGATAAAGAGAAGACCCCAGACGTTAGCGGAATAAAAAATCTTTTATACCAGCCTCGTGTCGGCTGAGTAATTTAAAAAAACATTAGTTTTTTTTGCAGATGTTTAATGAAAGTCGGTTTTCAGGACGTAAGAATGTTACCGTTGCAACAAGTGTTGCACCAGAACTGAGAAAGTGTGCAATCAATCTTCGAGCACCCCTTAGCGTACGGTGTGTATTGGTGATCGTTGCCACATGGCCACGACGGGAAGTAGTCCTGAAAGCAACAGTTGTTCCCAAGTTTCACGGGGTAAATTGTCATGCGCTCACCTTAACTTCGATTTATACTATCCGTAAATTAGTAATATTATAAGTTAACACAATCAAAGAAGAGAATAAATCAACTGGTCTACGGTAAGCGCTTGCATAGAACTAAGCCAACTCCACTGGTTCGTTTTTGAGTACTCATCAAAACTTGCACTTTCTAACATAAAGAAAAATGTCTTATGGTTTTCAGAGATGGTTTTAAACTTTCGACTGCAAAGAAAGCTTATGAACTATGCATAACTCTCAAGGCATCCCAAGGACTTTGCAAACCTGGCCACTTTAAATAGAATGGCGATACGGATTGGAACAGCAACGTAAAATCTAAAGTGATACCATTCCAGTCAGAGCATTTCACCTGTCACACCTGCATCATCTGTAATCCCGTTGATCGTCGAGTGGCTCGAGAGGGAACCAGTAAATCTTCCATTTTTCCCCGTCGCGTGCAAGAGTAGCCCAGCTGGTTCTACTAGCTCTAGAGTCTCCAGGGATGTCCATTCCGTTGAGCGTGAATGTGGCAAACGAAAGCAATCCGACTCTCATGAACATCGTTTTAGTGAGATTTACTCGAAGACTCGTTGAGCATCATATTTTTCTTCTAGGCTTTTCGAGAACAACTCTGACCAGCAGCTCTGCGGTCTTCCTGCAGTGGGTTTGACATCCCGAGTAATCCAGTCACTAACGGCTACTGTCCATCGGTTGTCAATCATACGCATTACGTGTCTGGCCCAACTTATCTTCGACGGTTTGGCGAACAGAACGACATATTTGATTTTTGATCGTTGGCGCAGGTCGGAGCTTTGAATCTCTTTCCTTACTTGCGTGACACCAGGTACTCCTAGCATCATCCTTTCAACTGCGCGTGCAATAACGCTGAGTGATCTTCCATCCTGCTTAGGCAGCGACCAATTTTCTTACACATACGTTAAGGCAGGAAGTACCGTTGAGTCGAAAAGGTGGGCATGGAGACAGGTGTTCCTTGTTCTCTTCACTACATCCTTGATGTTCTTAAAAGCTCCCCAAGCCGCGCGTTCCCTACTGCTGATGTCTGGAGCTAAGTCGTTCACGAGGTTGATTTCCCGACCTAGATAGACATAACTGGAGCATTCAGAGATACTCGTTGCGTTGCGGGTGAATGGGGTGCGCGAAGCTAATCCTTTTGAACATCGCTCTCGTGAGGTTTAGTCAAAGATCAATCTTGCCACAGACGTTATCACAGTCGGAAAGCATTTGTTTCGCTTGGTTGATACTGGGTGTTATAACAACGATGCCAATCCTTTTCTCATAAACACGGTTCTTATAAGGTTTTGTCGAAAAACCATTCGTTCTACAATCGTTGTCAAAATCTGCACGCATTTGTTCCGCTTTGTTAGTCATTGGTGTCACAAGATTGATGTCATCAGCCGCTCGTTTCCTTCTGCTCATCTCTGAAGCTAAGTCGTTCATCATATTGATTTCCCGACCTAGATAGACATAACTGGAGCATTCGGAGATGTCCGTTTCCTTAAGCGTGAATGGAGCATACGAAACGAATCCGTTCCTCATGAAAATAGTTTTAACGAGATTTACTCGAAGACCATTCATTCCACAGGCTTTATCAAAGCCTGCCAGCATTCGTTGCAGTTAGCTAATGTTTGTGTTATAAGTACGATATCATCAGCAAAGCGAAGATGGTGTAATTGCCGACCATCGATTTTCACTCCCATGTTGTCCCATTCCAATGCTCGCATAACGTTCTCGAGGGCGGCGGTAAATAATTTTGGCGAGGTGGTATCTCCTTGCCTGACTCCTCTTTTGACGTGGATGTTAATATTGTCGTAGAATGGTGATATTTTGGTTGTGAAATCTTTGTATAGCTCGCGGAGAATCTTTATGTACTGAGTAGGGACTCCCTGACTATCAAGGACTAGCATGACGGCTTCTATCTCAGTTGAGTCAAAGCTCTTCTTTAAATCGATGAAAGTGGGACAGGGCGGTATTTCGTACCCTTGCCAAACTTTAATAAATCTTGTTGACGCGTGGATGTGGTCCATTGTACTAAATCCTTTTCGAGGCCCTACTTCCTCACATGGCTCTCCTTCGTCCAGTGTTCTGCCATTCCTGTTTAAGATGACTCGAGTGAAGAGTTTGTAGACGACAGACAGCAAGCAGATTGGGTGATAGTTGCCGACATCGTGTAGGTCATCATTCTTGAACAGTAGCACGGTCTTGTTGGTCTTTCACTGAGTAGGGACCTAGGATTCAGACAGGTAATGTGTGAAGAGCCGAGCCAGTGTGTTTGCGAGGACTGGCGAAAGGTTCTTCAGGCGTTCTGGCCTATCCTGTCCGGACCTGGTACTGTTCGATTTTTCACCGACGAAATGGCATGTCGGATTTCGGAAGGAAGAACCGGTGGTACAACATATCCATCCTCCTTTATTTCATATGACAGAAGGTGAACGTGGCTATCGAAGAGATCTGAGTATTGTTCGTGAATAATTTTCTCCGTTACCTTTCTGGACGATGCTACTGTTCCGTATAGGAGTCGGAGTGGAATCATCTTAGCCTTGTGATTGGTGAAGCTTCAGTGGGCTTTGCGAATGCTTTTCACAGCCGCTGCAGCTTCGACCATTACTGCTGCTCTTTTCTCTTTGAGGTCTTCTTTTACAGCCTGTCTACATTGTTTTGCAAGTTCGGCGTTAGTTCGCGGTTGCCTGCTGCTCGTGCGATTCCACGCTGGCGCATCAATTCGATAGTTTCTGGAGACAGACGTCTCGTGGTGACTTTCGAACTCTGAGCTTTCATAGCGCTAACGTGAAGATATTGAATGAGCCGATTGTGTTCTTCGTCTATGTTATAACGGCACCTTACCAACAGTCGATTGATGAATTGAATAAGTCCCAGTTTACGGTGGTTCTGGGGCCTCGGTTTTGGAATTTAGCGGCTTTTTCTCCTCTCCTCGAGAAATAGAATCTTGCATGAAGGAGACGATGCTCTGATCCCGTGTAGAATTTTGGAACAACAGCAACATCGGTTAGGCAAAACCTTCTATTTACTATGACGTGGTCTATTTCGTTATGGTACTCTCCATTGGGAAACTCCTACATCCAGCGCTGAGGGTGGGGCCTCTGGAACTGCGACTTACCATGAATTGTCTTGGTCGCCATGATAAGCTCAGACAACCATTCACCCTCTTCGTTCCAATCCAATTCGTGGGTCACAATGTGACGTTCTTCAGACGCTTTTCTTGGTCCAGTGCTGGCATTGAAATCTCCAGTAATGTTCTTGAGGAGTGTATGGTCTTCTCTGTAGAACCTCTCCAAGTCCATATAGAACGCTTCGACATCCTCTTCGTCATGGTTTGATGTCGGCACATAAATGACGAAAATTATCAAAGCCGGTATTGATCCACATCTTTTTAATCATAAACGTCCGATGGGTCCTGTTAGTTGTTTGAACAAGTCGATGTTCATGGACAAACTCGTCTTGAAGAAAACCCAAAGCTGCCGAATCCTCTAATGTTGCATGTTCAGAGGAACAGTTTTTCTCCGGTGTCATAAACGGCTTTGAATGGGTGGAATCGTTTCGTCTCGGCCAGGCCAGTGATGTCGTACCTCATCCTTCTCGCTTGCATGATCGAGCCTTCTATCGAGGACTCGGATGCGAGTGTACTGCACTGTATGTACAGATTGTCACCTTAGCTCTTCGCGGTCCAAGCACTTTCCATTAGTTCTAAGATTTTAGCAGGCTTTCCGCAGTCATCCTACCCAAGACTGCCGAATTGGGGGCTCTTTAGGGGCTAGAGGAATGAGGCTCGCTTCCTTTGTTGTTTTTAGCTTTTTGATACCTACGTATAGCTTGCTGGGCTCTGAACGGGGAGGGGGGGGGGGGGCGGGGTACACTCACGGGNGGGGGGGGGGGGGGGGGGGGGGGGGGGGGGGGCTGGGTACACTCACGGGTAGCTTGCAAGGCTCACCCAGAATAGACATGGAGCTTATTTGTTGGAGGCGACCCCTGGCGGCCTCTCATATACTTCCCTATCACTTGATTGCAGGTTTTTGGCTGAACTGACTCGTAGAATACAACCCGCATAAGCAAGAGCCCACCTACACAAGCATTCATGAATACGCCTACCAAATACAGAAAGTATGTGCGAAATAGGCACAGCTGAAACAAGGAGTTCATCCCCTGGATCCATCTGCGTCTCAGGAAAACATACGGTCGCTTTTGGTCCGAAATTAACCCCCTATTCGCCACCTGAGGATGCGCCACGTAGCCTTGCGACTAGTCGGATCGAGATCCCTCATATAAGGGACCACCGTCTGAGCATTTTGGAAGCAATATTCGAGATTACATTGCCCATTCACGTACTTACCACCATTTCATTATTTTCATATCTGTATCCTTTGTTGAGATCAGCTGTGGTGTCGTAGGAATCGTTGTTCATTTTGAATGCCATTGTTTGAATTCCGTTGATCGTTGCATCAGAATCGTAATGTAGATAGAACGACATGAAAAAATTCTTGTATTGAGTATAACTCCATTCTGCGCGACTCACATGAGTCACTTCACGTAGTTTTCTCAACGACATAGGTGGTCTGAGCACTGATTTCGTATCATGACTGCGTGAAACAAATATACATTAGATGTTCCTTACAGTTTCTTCACACAATGAGTGTAATTTTTGCAAAAAATAAAGAATTGTTCTGTAGTGTGAAAAAATTTCAAGATATTTCCACAGGTAGTTGTAAGTTTAGATTATCCTTATCTTAAGTGGGTGCCTTGGGAGTGAGTCACCAAAGAGATATGACTTTTTCCTTGGCATAGGTTGTTTAGGGAGAAGGCTCCTTCTTTGTGCCAAGCTAATTTGACATATACCCTCTGTGTTCACTTTGACATGTTTACGCATACGTAGGCTTTTATGTGTGCGTATGTGCATATTGTATTCTTCAGGTAACCCTGGCTTATAGGTTAAAATCAAGTCATGTCACAACATAGATGTCGGCAGCATTGGCGTCCTTGTTAAGATGAATTTGACCACGAACGTTGACTTTTTCGAAAAAGTGAAAACAAAAATAGAACGCTCTTGACAGAAGATATGTTGACCAAATCCGTCCGCTAGAATATTTATCGTATCGTCCTACATCAATTCATGACCAAGACGCCTTCGAAACATTCTATATGCGCTTAAAGTATTCCTGCAGAGAAGACAATGGCTTCTTCAACTTCAACACTGTCCCTTACAACGCCAATACTAGATCAAGAAAACATCAGAAAAACCTAGCTACGGCGTCCAAGCATGGAATGGAGGATTACCTTGTAGAGAGCTCAAACCAGCACCTTGATTCTTCCTCGATTGCATCACTAATCACTTCCATGACTCCGTCCTCTACGCTTTATTTTTCAGATTTAAAGTTCCTAATCAAGGAAAGATAAGCAAAAATGCGTTATTGTGCAATAACGGAGACGTACTCGAGATCGGTAACCATAGCTCAATAAGGCTGCTCTCTGCCGTCCACAGACTTTTTGCTAAAACCATTATTAACAAGATTGATATAGCTATGATATAGCTATAGATATAGCCAACATTTTCGACTTTGTGAATCTGCTTGTCTTAACTTACGTGAAGAAAGCTAAATGTTACGCTAGCAGAATGAATGATCACTCAACGCGTCAAAGTTATTAAACGTAGGCTGGTGAGAGCAACCCTGAGGTCATCTCGGATCAAGTAGGTGACAGAAGGAATTCAATATTACGAACTACACCTACAATTAAAGATAGGGTCGTTGTCGTCCACGCTGTGTTGAAACTGGAGACTTGATGAGACCAACGACAAATGCAAGAAGACGTTCATTACGCAACGTGTTTCACCGTATTTAAAGTGAGTAATAGGAGAACCATAAAACGGCTTGCCAGCTTTCTTCGTAGAATCTTGAACAAAAAATCGCTCTTTTCGAGCAGGTCGACCCAAGAAAACCTTTTTAGTAAATGCTCGAACGCTATGTGGCTGAATGAAGAGATTGCAGCACTCAACACTCTCGATGACCGACAGCGGTGGTGGGAGTTGAAGAGAGTTTTTCTGCTAAATTAGGCTTTAAATCCGGGTTATTAAATAACCATTCATAAATTATATAAAACTGCCAAAATAATTACCTTAGTTTGAAATTTTTACCGACTCTTTAGAAACAAGTCTTTCCATAAAATTTGCCACGTACACTGCAAATAATTTTTGCTCGATATGTTAAGTGATTTCACGGTGGGGACAACGTGTCTTTATCTAGGTTGAATGCGTTTTCTGTTAATTCCGCTTTGAGCAATTTTGCCTTTTTACATAGTTGTCAAAAATTTCCCATCCATAAACATTATAAAAGTAGGGAGCGCTTAGCGCTGTACTTAGAGGTTTCCTGCAATACACATGAGATCTTTGGTTCAATCCAGCACCTCGGGCTCACAGAACCTTCCATCACTCCGTGGTCGACAAACTTGATCACAGATTTGTCATTTAAGATGGCAGGAGTGACATTATACATCTATAGGCGACCAGAAGTACAGTAGAGATACGCATTCAGTCACCTCTAACTATGCTCGATTGAAGTCGCATCCCTCTAAGAATGATCAACCCGAAACTTTAAAGCTTAGATTGAACTTTGTGGAAATTTTTGATAAATGGTTTTAGTTGGCAAAAACAAGATCCTATGTGTCCATATGAACCTATGGAAATAGCGGTATCCTATTAGCTTGTAGACAACAACAGAACACACGCTCACCGACAGGTAAATGACTGGAATTGCTTCAGATTATCGTCTTTCTTCAAGCCTGGTTTTTGTAAAGTGCCATCTGAAAGGAAACGATTATTGCTAAGACTTCAAATTTTCACTTCAATAATAGACTCACCACCACTGTTCGTAATGTCGCTAGAATAGTTGTCCCCCCACCATGGGAGATGCGTCATGTTGGCCCACTTTTGAATTAGAGCTAAGCTTAAAGAAACTAAATTTCTGATATAACTCTTTATCATTTCAGCACATGGTCGTTCTCACTTGTCCGTGTTGTCTTTTCCAGTTTTTATTACGTAATCTTCATCACAGGTGTGGTTGTACTAAAACAAAACATAATTTGAATCACTGAAGTTTTCACGAAGATTCTGCATGAAAATTTACTACTCTGGTGTTTCAGACGTTTTACGACCTAAAATCACAAAGGTCAAGAGCTCACACGTTGCTTTTTCTAGATCATACAAGGCGGCAAAATGTTTTCATTACAAATACTCCATATTATCATGCTAATTTCTCAAGTCGAGATGTTTTTATGTAGACTTTCTTACTTACTTACTTGTTACTTTAAGAGCCCGTCTTCACTGGTTATGCGGGCCTCAACATAATCACCACTTTTCGGAGATTTGCTGGTTAAGCCATTGTGGTTTACCAGAATCCCAAGGTCAGTCTGGCCAAAGTCTGCTCCAGGTCTTCACCACCACAGGCAGTCGAAGCCCTTGTGAGTCAGACGGAGATTTGCCACCATGCGACTTTGATACCAGGACGGTGGTGAATTCTGGGATTGGTTTACTCTTAGCTAGGCTTCCTGATGGAAACAACGGACTCTTTCTCAGCTTGGGAGACCCTGCCGGTGAACGAATCCCTCCGCTGTACATTGCAGCCCAACACGCAGGAACACCTCCCGGCCACGACGAGGCGGTAAACCGTAGGTTTTCCTTCTTTTTCAAATTTATCTTTCCAGCGCTCGAGGTTACTTTTGTTCTTAGGTTGATAGATTAGTTTCTTTCTGTGCATTTTAGAAAAAGCCGCTGCTATTAGCTTTTTCACTGCTAGCCGTCATTTGCAGTGCTGCTCAATTTTCAAAGACAATCTATGTAGGTTTGCTACGCAAAATAGATTTCTCTCCAATTATAGCACTCTAAGAAGAGGAACTTACCAGAGGAAAGTACCCTATTGTTTGAACATTTGGAAGCTCAGTGAGATTTCCAAACATAGAGATCACCATCTGAAAATATGAACTTATGACAGCTCTACTTGTAAATATGCGTTGCAGTCTGCGCAAAAATAGCAAAGCTAATGCAACGTTCTTCGAAAGGGAATAGAGGATTTCTCAGCCGATTTTCTACATGCTCTGCCTATCTCAAAACGAAGTGCCAGAAAATTGTAAGTTTGATTTTTGTTATAGTCCGATCATTTCAAATAATGTGAGAGACAGTGGGACGATTGATTTCTGAGACTTTTGCACACGATGGTTTTTTTTGACGATTTCTTTTTCACAAATATGCAGGCGGTGGTCACATCTCCAGTCTCTTATTTTGTAGCTATTCATAACTATTTCTGTGTTCGCAAACGGGGACTATTCACGAACCAATTTTGCACCAGAAATCAACTAAAGGACCCATTAGAATATAGAAGCCTTCGGTACAGGCAATGGTAGTGATGAGGTTTAAAACTCGTAAGCCTTGGTTCGGCCAAACTCCTCATCCTTTGCGGTGGATTTCGTATTATACTTGTCTAGGGAGTTTCCTGCAATAAGACCTATGGTCGCCTTAGACGTCTACTCCAGGATTCCAGGTAGAATCATTTTGACCATAGTTGAACGGCATCTATGAAGGAGAGCAAAAATCCTCGTGCAGCACCCGAGCATACATGCGAGCTCGAAGTATTTCCTGGATGATGTGTGGAGAAAAGACGCATTGAATAAAGATATCTACTAAGATTCTCAAAATAAATGAATGTTCGAGTCATGTAAAAAAATTCGACCGTAAAGAAGATATGAGAATGATTTAACTAAATGTCAGCATAATATTTAACGAAGAAGGGATTTTCCGCTTCGTATTTTTCGCTAACTCCTTTGCTGTCGCAGTGATCACCTATGTAGCATAGAATTCTCTAAATCTTCTGGTTTAAATTTAATCATAACTAGTGGCGAGCACCTAGTATTGCTTGTAAATCTGAACCAATAAAACTGTTATAGGATGCAATGCGGAGTGGAATAAATGAGATTCCTAGTCTCACCTTGGTCAAGTTGCTTTGGATCAGAGTGATGAGCGGATCAGAGTAAGACTCAAACGATACTCCACCTTGGGTTACTGCCCTGAACTGATTTGTTTCTTCGAAAATGCAAATAACGGTGAAAATAGCACTGCCAGTTTTAGTGAGTAAGCTAAAGAATGGGATACACTACAAAAAACACTTAAATTTATTACTTTCCTTTCCGTTGAACTAAGTAAATTTTAGACTTTCAGATAGCCTTGGTTAACTAAGAAAATCAGAACTTTACAGCACATTGTTGAAAATATACGCGTTAAACTGACGGACCACCAGCAGTTTGAAATGTGCCGTTTTTCTTGTTTTTAGCACGCTGTACCTTCCCTGGTAGGCTGGAATTAACTGGAAAGACGAGGAAGAAGTGTTCACTCGAAGATCAGGGACAATAACTTCAATGATGCTGAGATATTTGCAAGACTTCGGACCGCAGGTGTCTGCGGTGGGGAACGAACGCGCTATTAACCTTTCCGGGTGGTAACGCGTTCACCACCACACCATACGGGTCCTTCGTTCCGCCTGGCCCTCAGCTAGTTCTATCGATCCCAAAATTAAAAAGAGTAGGCAGTAAATAATAAGTTAAAAACAGGGACAATATTCGAAACGTCAGAGAATTTTGGCCTGTTGGTATGGCGCATTAGTGTGCTGCTTACAGCTACATTGCTCTCAAAGAGCATTGCTAAATCAACAGTGTATTTTTTTGCCGTTTATACTGCACTGTCAATCTACCATTCTGTGAAAATGTGTCTAAGACCATCTAAAATCACAACTTACCAGCAAACCAGTAATTAGAAATGATAAGGCGAAAGAGGCGACGCACTGTTTTATTACACGTGTAATCAATTACAGAAGATATAGTGATAATAATTTCGATATTTTCTGAGACATAGCCTGCACGCAACATGTAGCCGAAATGAGCAGCTCAGATCCTCGAAAGGTTATACCGTCTTTAAAATTCAGGGGAATATAAATCGGAAAAGAAATATGTATTGGCTGGTCTAATAATGGGAAGCGCAGGCGACATATGGAAAGCGAGAATAGTGAATTGAATTCTAAGCAGCGTGCAATTTTCTTCTGGTAAAACACCTCACCACGTTGGGCAGGCGTGTTTCGAGTTAAAATCAGTCAACAGTATTCCCAGATGCAAAGCTACACTTTAGAGATTACGGTATGACGCTGCAAACATCCTCAAAATTGAGGCAAACCATCACCGTAGAAGACAAAAAACGAGGAAGGAAGAATCCAGGATTGCGAGGCAAAGAAACGAATGGAATGTGTGCTGGGGCCCGCATTACTATTAGTGATGACAGCTCGTCCAGGTGCTACTCGAAAGATAAAAAATCTCGTTCGAGAAAATATGATAAACCGTATGTATACCGTTCTTCCCGTCCTGAAATTCGACGAGGCGTTGCAAGTTGCATAATTGAAGCTAGAACCACAGTTAACCAGCTTTATGGAAGCAGTTGTATAATACATACTTTCTTCGAAAAATATCAGCATTTGATTTTTTCTAATCAAGACCTTAAGCATTGTTCTTATCAGTATATAAGGCCAAATACTGAGATGTTACTTTATCTGCCTTTGCTTAAGGACTAAGTGGTCATAGTCTACTTACCTCAATGGAGATTCTCCAAGCAAAAGAAGTAATATATCCAATGCTGCGATCAGAACTTTACGAAGGGACTGCTTTTGTTGCATATGGACAGCTGCCTGAAAAGGTTCAAGCATTGCTGAACAACATTTACCTCATTAAATTCAAAATCCGTCTATGGTATTTCAGATTTAAAGCCGTAAATAGAATAAATGTCAGAAAAATTGACGTAGATGCAGCACTCTTCGAACGTAAGAATTGTGATCACTACTAGGCACATGTTCTCACAGTACAAAACTTCTTGTTATGTAGAGCAGCTTTCTATATCATCTTGCTCTCGATGTAAACGCAAATTGTCGCTTTCACACTTGATCTTGCTAATCGTCAAGTGACTCAGGCGAACACCAATAAAACATCTACTCACTTCGATTGAGAGTAAGAGCTGTTCACTGAACCCAGCTAGAGACACGAAGTTCACTACAATCGTGTGGAAAGCTTTTTTCAACTGTTTTTTTCAAACGTATCATGAACATCCGCATAAAATCGTATAAAGATATGCAATTAAACGAAGACTCCCAATGGAAATGGAGCTTCACGTTGGTGAAAACGACAAGGGAGAAAAGTTCTTAAAGTGTTAGTAATCTGTCAGAATTTGGTAAGGATGTTCGTTGGCGGTTTGAAAGGAAGAACTTCTCGAGGGGCAATGATTGATCAGAGAAGGCAGAAACGGGTGGAATGGACGGCAAAAGTTGTGTGAGAAGAGATTAAGTGAAATATACCATTAACAATCCACAGTTTTCCAACTAGGACAGGTGTATTTTCATTTATTTTAAAACTCAGACATGAAAGCTTTGTGCATAGCACGCATAAAAGTGCTGTTTATAAAGAATTTCAGATATTAGTCGTGAAAATGATTTTCGCTGGATACCATAGTACTTCTAATAGCTCTGTCTCGTCGAAGCAAAATTATAATGTATTACGATACTGACTTTTATTTACTGCCTTTTACTAGTTTTCACGGCAGGGTATATTATTTGTGAAACAACCGCAATGATGCTGAGATATTTGCAAAACTCCAGACCGTGGGTGTCTGAGTTTTGCAAATATCTCAGCATCATTGTGGTTATTATGTATTATATCGAAAATTCTCCCACCTACTCTCCACCACTTCTTTGGGATTTCGAAGTGTTTCTGAGAGTCCAGTTGCGAGACAGACAGAAATATTTGTTCATGAATGGGATCCTGGCATAGGAGTTCGACTTTTCCATTCGGAAGCCCAGTAAGTCGCCAAGAATCACCGCTGTCGCGGCATTGAACTGGAAGGAAGAGGGGAGTTCCCTCCATTATCCCTTATGCTTTACAACAAGAATGAAGCTCCAGCTAGACTGAACTTATGATTTTCCAAAATCATAAGTAGCTTGACGTATAGTGAATAGGCCTTAGCGTTTTGCTCACTGTGTCACTCCTCTTGAAACGCCATAATGTGAGGCAGTCAATGAAAAGCGAGCAAATCTCGAGCTGAAAAGGAAGTAACTGAAAGATGATCAAACAAATCGACACTCCATGGAGGCCAGTTTGTGTTCTGCACCTGCTATATCGGAATAATCTCTTCAGATACCGATCCTGATCCTGACGTTCTCCTAGACGGCACAGTCCATGGATTGGAAAAACTTTAAAATGAAAAGTTAGCAGAGTTCGGTATCTGGCAAAGTAACTGTATCCTCGTAGGATGATCGAAGCATTTTCGTAACTGCCGCTTGGTTTGTTTGCGAGCGTACCATAAAAGCTCTTCAGAAGGATGACTCTATCGCCATATTAGGGTCTTGATCGGAGTTCAACTAGCTAAGGAGGCAGGATTAGGAACCAGATTCTGTTGCAAAGGTACCGTTCAAACCGCATTTGAGGCCACAAAACTTGCCAATGGTGCAGTTAGCCCTTTGTACCACCGATATTTCCAGAGTACGCAAAAGCATTTGTCAACGTTGAAACAAATGCAATCTTCTCGACGCTTGCTGAGTGGACTGTCCCATACGTGAACCCTTGCTGACTGTCAGTGTAACTGCACTACAGAAATGCAGCTTTTTCATCTATTCGTTGCAGATCCTTACGAAGAGTGTCGCAACGACAGAACAGTAATTTCGCCGAAAGTTGTTCATTGAGATACTTCAATAAATAGGGGAGCCACTCAGCTAAGAAGAAGAAATACGTACACATTGATGGTAAATTCCACGCTAACCTTTTCCACTCGACGGTCTTCCCAATCATCCCAGACACATGGATTGACTTTTCAACACTAACAATTCTGAACAGCATCCAGACGGGGTTTTGGTGATCTGTTCTCAAATTTTATTAGTGGGCACCACGTCTAATAGGCTTACGAAAAAAAAACGAAATCTATCTTATTTTCGAAATCCAGGAGAACATACATTGATAGCGAGTAATATATGGGCTGCTCATGAAAGGAGAGCGTCAGATGACACATGTAAAAAAACTGTGGAATGGTCTCTAATTGGAAGCGGTTGACTTCCCAACAGCCAGATAGAGTGGGCCGACGTGCCTGTGGCCCACATCATCCAACCATCTGCGTTTACAGATGGGGAAAATTTACAGGTTGCGAAATTTGCTTCGTGTTCCCCAACATGTTCTGAGTAGGCTAACCACCGTGTGCAGTGATTGCTCGAGAAAGAGAGTCATACCGAGTGGAAATCAATGGTTGGCAATTAGACTATCCTCGCACTGCTGGTGACATTATTCTTGTAACATCAATGACTAATAAAGCGGAACAAATGAGTACAGATTTTGACAACGATTGTGGAACAAATGGTTTTTCGACAAAACATTATAAGAACCGTGTTTATGAGAAAAGGATTGGCATCGTTGTTATAACACCCAGGATCAACCAAGCGAAACAAATGCTTTCCGACTGTGATAACGTCTGTGGCAAGATTGGTCTTTGACTAAACCTCACGAGAGCGATATTCAAAAGGATTAGCTTCGCGCGCCCCATTCACGCTAAACGGAACGAATATCTCCGAATGCTCCAGCTATGTTTTTCTAGGTCAGAAAATCAACCTGGTGAACGACTTAGCTCCAGAGTTCAGCAGAAGGAAACGTGCGGATTGGGGAGCTTTAAAGAATATCGGGGATGTAGTGAAGAGAGCAAGAAACACCTGACTCCATGCCCACCTTTTCGACTCAACGGTACTTCCAACGTATGTGTCAGAAACCTGGTTGCTGCGTAAGCAGGGTGAAAAGTCACTCAGCGTTATTGAACGCGCGGACGAAATGACGATGCTAAGAGCATCCCGTGTCACGCAAGTAAGGGAAGTGATCCGGTGCTCCAACCTGCAACAACTAACAAAAATCAAAGATGCCGCCTTGTACGCCAAACAGTCGAAGATAAGGTAGGCCGGACACGTAATGCGTATGAATGACAACCAATGGACAAGCGCCGTTAGTGAATGGATTCCTCGGGATGTCAAACCTACAGCAGGAAGACCACCGACCCGATGGTCAGAGTTTTTTACGAAGAGCCTAGAAGAGAGATATGATGCTCAATGAATCCTTAGAGCGAGCTGAACCTACTGGGCTACTCTTGCACGCGACAGGGAAAACTGGAGGATTTGCTGGCGCCCGCTCGAGTCACTTGACGATCAAGTGGAAGACGGATGATACCAGTGCTCACCTCAATACGTTTGCAGACGATTTCACTCAGAATAGGCAAAAAACATTTAGCGAGAATGAAGTTATCCGCATCGACTTACCATAAAAGCTGGATTGGGAAGCATGAGAAGATCTTCAATGTGGCAATTTTCACAGGAGTCGGTTCGAGAGAAAACCTAAATATTTGGATATAATGCTGTTTTCTCTGTTTTCCTGCTTAAACGTTACTCCAGTGTTATTAAGTTAGTTAAAAGGTGTGAAGAAAAAAAGCAAAAAAGAATTCAACACGATTACTCCCTAGGTGTACACAATTGGGTGTAAGTAATTCGCCTTAACTTTGAACTAGATAAACCACCCATCATAGAGCGGATAGCGCAGTGGTAGTGATGTCAATCCTGAATAGTTCGATTCCATACCGAGTCAACCAACTCTCTCACCTCTCCGGTGGTAGAAAATTTGTACCGGACTTGTCCGGAAAAAAATCACTCTCTGCATTCCATTTGGGAACGCTTCAGCCTGGCTATCTCGAGACTCCAGAGAGAATTACTCGACCAGCATTCTATATCACTCAAGATGAAATGAAAATCCTCAAGCAGCCGAATCTACACGTAAAAAGTTGGAAGATCTTCGTTGATAATAGTTGCGAGCCAACGAATCGAATGTGTGAAGTGCTGGCATTCACACAGTAGACGTGAATATGGGTCGTATAAAAGTAATGAAAAATCACCCATGTCTTGTTGTTTCTGTAGTACACGGTATTTCCCTCATCACGAAAATCAATCTCCTGCTTGAACTCCTTTTCTCTGAAAATGTTGAAAATGAATTAAGTTTGCTGGAGCTTTTCTGAGCAATGAAGAACAACAATTAGAGATTTCAAAGTTTGTCAGTTTAAAAAAAATGGTTGCTACATTAAGTAAAAGCGTTGATGGAGAGTCGAAACACTGGAAAATATCTCTAGAAACAATCTAAGACAAAACTGTGTGAAATAGTTTAGATCGTATCTGATGAATAAAACGCTGCTAGTGGCAACCACGTCTAGAGGGATAAGAATGGAAGCATTCAGAGACCACACTTTACTCTAAGGTGCTAAACTTGGTTGCGTATACTTCCAGCAATGAACAATTAGTGCACATGGAGATAAGCATACACTGTCAAGCAAACACATGACATTAGGCGACAATTAATCATGGAAAGAAACGCGTTAGTTTAATTTGCTAAAAAATTAAGAAAAAAAATCATGCATGACGGAAGTTTTGAAAATACTAAACAAAACTCACTTCCAAACATACGGCCCAAGTTCCACCAGTCTTGCCCGCTCTCCTTTATATAATACCTCGTCAGGATTCGTTACATTGAAGTAGTAAAATTTGAAGTACTGTGTAGCAGGTAATCGAGACCAATAATATGTTGCTGTTGGGAACTGTCCATCTCTCTCTTGCCTACAATAGTTGGGCTGTAAAACTCTTTTTCTTATTCTCTATTACCGTTGATTACAAATATGTATTTGTACACATGAATGTTGTAAGTGCTGCAAATCACGGCTTTTTTGCTACAAGTACCTTCTCGATAAAGGCTGACCCAGTCTAAAAATGATTTAGGAGCTTTTTTAACCCATTTTCGATTAAACCAGTAATTTACCTAGTTAAACAAAATTGTGTCTAATCCAGTGAATAAGAATATCGATAGGAATAGAACTAGAGATTGACTATCCACTCTTTAAATCAGTTAAAAAATAGGTTGTTCGACAGCAACATTGCTTCAACGCTTTGTACGTTGGAGCGGAGAAGCGAAAAATCTTGAAAATGAATCAGGTACCTGAGGTAAACTTGCGATCTGATTATTGCAGGAAAAAGTGTGATTGAAAATGGAATGAGAAGAAACAAGCCCAGTAAGAATACAACGATGAGGAGCGCAGAGATCAACACGTCAGTACAGGTGCGCATCGTCCAAGTGTTGTGCTTTGGCCTTATCTAACTTCCTGATAACACATCACGTTAACCCCAGACCACTACAGATTTTGCAAAGTTTCATCTTCCTTATTCTATTCCAGATTGTGGCAGAACATCGTTTTACACCGGACATTTATGACAATCCAATTTACACGCTCGTAATATTAACTGAGCGTAAGGTAATCGAATGAACGTTCAGCATATCGTCTGTGTGGTTTCAATGATGTTTCACCGAGTGTCCTGCATTCGTTTTCAGTATGTTGTAGCTTTGATTCATAAACACATTTTGAAACTTTGGTAAACAGATTAGGGAACATGTTGTTTAATGGTGACCGTGTTCCGAATTCAAACTAGGCCACAATCTTTCCCAAACTCGTTTAGAAGTTTTCCTTGTCGGCCACTTTTCTTCATACATGCCTCCCTACTCTCTTCACTACCGATTTACTAATAGATAAAATAAAAAAAAGAAAAATAGTCACTTTTCTACCATTGCATTCAGAGGCGTCACAGATAATTGGTTCAAGAGCGGAAGCCTTTTGTGTTACCTTACTTTCTGCAGTACCATAGAGATTGGAGATTTATGATATCAGAATGGATATAACCATCAGTTGATCTAAATCGGCGTTTCTGTGTAATTGTTAACTATGAATTTTGCTCTCTTGATTTTCCGTTTTCTTGATCAGTATGCAGGCGGCTGTTGCTTTGCTCTTTACTCACAAAAATGCTGACGTTTAGGAGCATTTTGCCTTTTTAAGAGCCTGGAAAGGTCAAGTTGACTGAATCATAGTCAGCCAAACAGCTACACAACACCAGTAGGAAAGCCACGAAACCTAGATTTCAATCGCATTGAAAACAAGGCAACTTCTTCGCATATTCACCGTTTTCTATAAGTCTTCTAGTGAGTATTCTACGTAGAGACCAACTGCACAGAGTCTGCACGGAAGGATAATACGCTTTTCTCATATTAAAATATCGGTCAGAGATATTGCATGAGATCACGCGTGATAACGAGGCATTCCTCCCTGCAGTTCATTTTTGGGTCCTTGAAATTTATCCATAACGCTTCATGTCCTTTGCACGCCGAAGTTTTCGGTTCCTGTGTGAGGATGGCAACATGTACTGTAAAATCTTCTCCATTATGGCTTTGTATCCTACGTGGAGTATTTGATCTAACAATAGGTCACCTGATCTCTTGCAAATGCCTGGTGAAAACATGTGGAGACGAAGTAGACCACTATGTTTCCGTGTAAAACAACACCTAAACGGTAAACGTAGAGCTAAACAAAACACTTGGCGCGAACACCCAACGGGACAGATTTTGAAGTGGGAGTCATCATCTTCGCATAGGAATCTAAGACGCGTAGAGCTTTCGAAACATTCTGGATAAATTCCCAGCACCAAGAAATAAACCACTGAATGAATGCCTTTTTACCGCGTGTGATATAACACAATATCTCAGACTGATATTTTAATGTGGAGTGGAGCATGACCCATCCACGTGAACTTTATGAAGTTCGTTCTCACGAAAAACGCTCACTCATACAGCGCGGTGAGTGTGCGAAGAAGGTATTTTGTTTTTGATGCAACTGAAATCCAGCTTTCGTATTTTTTCTGTTTTAATTACAAAGTTGACGTCTGACGTTGTCTGGCCCATTGCACACATCGTCACATTTTCAGCAGACTCTGAAGAAGACCAAATCCGCCGAAATGTCAGCTATTTCTGAATGACGAGTAAAGTAATAACCTCGTCTGTGCTTACCAACAAAAAAAACGAATTACTGATCAGTGCTGGAGTTAATAGAAAGTTGGCCTCGTAGATTTTTCTGTTATTTGTGGCTCACTCCCGGTACCGTCTGGTCATTATCCTACATTATTCTTTTATTTATGAAGACAACCTCTTATACTAACTGCACTTTTGTCCTTACGAAATAGTTGATGACAATGTAAAAGGTACAGTAAAAACCTCATCTGCGTGAATCAGCATCTGCGACTGTTATTGTGAAAACGGCAAATTAGTGTACATCGTTCTGTATAAGAGTTAAGTATTTATACTGTAAATTTAATACGAATATTTTTTTGAAAGATAACGAAACGAGCGCGAAGCAAGTTCGTTAATGAATTGATCAAATTACTCTAGAAAATTGGCAATGAAATACGGTGTTTCTCCGGTAACATACGGGATAATCTCATAAGTAACAGGGAAAAATGATGACAGCATTCACAACGCTTATCAGATCGCCACGAGAGGATGATAACATCACTCCATTTATCTAAAGCCACACGCGAATTCCGTACGAATCGCACATTCTTTTGCTCACTTTCACTCTTGAGGTCGAATAAGGAAGTGTGAAAGTGCGGTATCCAAGAAGCAACAAGTTCAAAAGACGTGATAAACACAGCTTTTGATTTTGTCCATATTATGAGTAGAATGGACGCGTGTGGCGAAGTGGTCGGAGGCACCCTGGAACACACACGTGGAATCGATCCCCGCGCCCATGCCTATGCAAACCAAGCCTTCCATCCCTCCGAGGTCGGAAAATTGGTACCAGACTTGTCTGGGAGGATAGCAGCACTAACTCGATACTTCGGTAGGCCACCTCGAATCATTGCAAAGGCCAGATACGCTTTCAATCACATGCAACGATACTTAATGAAGCTAAATGCATGGTACATCCCCATGGGATTGATCAACGTCGAGAGCTTTATCCGTTTATTTCTATCCTTAAAACATCAACACGACGAAGATTAATTCTTTCTTGAATTCTTTCGTAAAGAGGTATCTCAACATTCAAGTTAAAAGACCTAAAATAACATAGTGGGAAGAAAATTTTTCGTAGTAGTAAATCCACCAAGGAAAAATCAACAGTCATTCCAAAAAACATTGAAATAAATGACATGATCAAATAGACGTCAATATGTCCATCGAAACGAAAAACACGCATAGGTGCTAAAACATGAATTCTTTCCGTCAAGAGTTTGCAGTGCTCATTCTGTTCGTGCGTGTTGCTTTGGTCTCGGCTCGAAGAGGAGGAAGAAGTGCTCGCGGAATCGGACCCACCTCGTCGGCTTCGTAGTGCTCTAGTGGGTGGATGGACTGAAGAGTGGAATAAAGTCTCTATTAATTAACCAACTGTTTTCTTGTTGAGCAAGCACGAACTCTTTAACAACAATATCTGCTTCACGCTCGCGAAAATAGCGACCGATTTCGTCTTCTTCAGAGCCTAGAAGGATCATCTTGAAAGACAATTTAGTCATTCACTCTCATAAGCTCGAAAGAAAAACACCATACCGTAATTTCAATCGCATGTGGAACAGCTTCATCTAAACATTCGCCGTTTTGCTTTTATCTCTTAGACTATTGTTGGAGAGCAACCGCAGAGAGCCTTTACATGGAAGGGGTAATGTGTCTGCGCCAGGTTAAAATATCATTCCGCGATTTACGAGGTCGCGCGTGATGACATGACATATCTTCCTGTAGACCACCCTTGGATTTTTGGGATTTAATCTCTATTCATTGATTACACGAATGTCACCAGTTTAAACAACTTCAGTACAAAGCGAATAGGCTTCCGTTCGTAGTGTGCCAGACTGATAAGTGTTATTGGCCATTCAAAAACGGCTCAGTTAAACGTTGAAGGTAATACCAAAAGTCATAGAATTCTTTGATTAAAGGCAAATGGCTATGGTCTTGCGTGATGTTTCATGGCGTACTCTCAGCAGGCGATGCCATGAAGACCTCGACGATTAAAGCCCCTGAATTTGAAACCGCACCGAAGCAAATGGTGGGTCTTCCCCTAATTTTACGAAGCGTATTACATTTCCTGACATTGCTAATAACTAATGGTGCACTACCATGGTAGTATATGACGACATCAAGTATTTTGAGGATATCCTTAAAGATGTCGGCGTCGCGAAAACATGGTGAGGATTTCATCACTGCACCATGTGAAGCTAGTGACAGGAGGCTCCTTCATCATCTGCGATCTCAATCGTAGATCGAAACCCCATTGACACCTTGCAGTGATAACCCAGTCTTTGTCTGTACTTTAACTTTTAATGCTAACTCTTTATTTGCTGTCTGTCACAATTTTTCACGGTAGGGTATTATGTGTGATGCAACCACAATAATGCTGAGATATTTGCAAAACTCCGGACCACAGGTGTCCGCGGTGGGGAACGAACGCGCTTTTACCCTTTCCGAGGGCTAACGCGTTCACCACCATACCATGCGGGTCCTTCGTTTCACCTTTCTCTCAGCTTTAATTTTCAAAATTTCAAAATGAAAGATGAGTTTTTACATAACTACTTGTTGCAAATTGTTTGAAAATCAATGTTTTCTAGATAACTGGTGATGTCATAACCACATTAAAGTTGTCATTAACAGAAAAGTGAAAATTTAAGAAAGTCGCAAAAAAAAAATTCACCGGCTTGAAAATTACTTCAGTAATTGAAATGTCTATGGGTAGCGCTCTCTTTTCGGATAGATACCTCCGAAACGACAGACTCTTGAGAGTCGGTGGAAAAGACAGAGTCGAGCGATGCCACAGTGTGAATCGGATCGCAAGGATCGTCTTCAGCAACTGGTGCTCGTCGACCCGCTCCGAACCGGGCAAGGAATTCACTTTTCATTTGATTCTCGATTTCATCTCGTCTTGCTGTTTCAGGTAGTGAAGTGAGGAATGTCGCTCGCGTTTGTATGTGCTGTGGCAATAACTTTTCAAACGATTGTGATCTGCTGAGTTGTCCACTCCTTTTAGCGATGTCTATAAGAAAGTCGCCGTAATTCGAGGTTTGAATAGCATCATTTACTCTTGATTTCCTCGTCGTAACAAATGAAACAGCGTCCGTAAACGTATTGGTATTTTTCGGAATATATAATGAACTATTTTGCACTCCTTTTTGATAAGAGGATTCCTCAAAATAGCCACTTGCTGAGCGAGGAAACGTGTCAAAACTATCATTCTCATTTTTATTGGGTGTTCTAACTACGGCCTGTTGTGAAATTGGGTTGAAAAACTCAGTTGTTTGCACTCCAATAGAGTGTGAAGCGGCTGTTCTTTTTCTAAGAAGAACTGAACCAATATCATTTTCGACTCTGTCAAAGAGCGGTTGTAGTTCGGCAGATAATTCTCCTCTTGGCTGTTCTTTAGTGAGAAATAGTGAAAAAGATGGTGAATGTGCTTCAACCGATTCTTCGTCATCGCTCTTTTCCAGCTCTTGCGCCAAATAGGAGTGCAGGGGTTGCTCTAGGGCTGATGCTATCCTTGAAATATTATCGTCTTCCTTGTCGATGTCATATAAATATTCATGCTGTACTTCATTTTCTGGGCTCTGAAGTAAGTGCATGCGATGATGGTGTGTCTCAAAACTGGACTTGCTCGCCTCACCCTCTCTCATGAGCGTGATGTCTTCTTCACTTGAAGATGTCCTATTTCTCTCGATTTCGTGCATTTCCACTTTATCGTTGAATGTGACACTTTTTTGAGAACCAAATGAACTGCGTAGTGATTCATTCAGTGTGGAGTCGTGTCTGTTTCTACCACTGCGCATCGTTTTGTTCCCGAGCGATACCTGGGTCTCATCATCATTTGACAATGCAAGAGCAATGGGCACCTCTGGCACTGTAAACGTGATTTGTTTGGAAGATTGCAGACTAGGTTGTTCTTCAACTGGTCGTGGCGGTGAATTAGCAGGACTTTGCATTTCTTCCGTATTTGGTTGAGCACTGATGGGCTCCTTGTGACCAGAATATTTCGTTAGCTCTATAACTGTAGAATTTTCTTTCGTTCCAATTTTAGCTTTTCTCTTACTATTAAAAGACAAGGCTTTTGTTTTTGCATCCAATGCCTCACACATCGATTGGCTTGCCTCTACGGCAGCATGGTCATTCACACGGCATAATTTAAGGTATTTTTCATAATCATTGCTGGACAGTAACAAATGGCTAACTTCTTCGCGAGGAGATGGCTCATGATAACAAATTTCTTCCCCACAACTGACGGTCGCCTTTATTTCATCACTGATATATCCCGACGAGGATTGGGCGGAACAATTCCTCTCCTTCTCCTCAATTTTAGAACTTTGGGTCATTTTCCTCGCACAAAAGTTTTCCTGATCTTCGTTTTTCAAAGACGCAGGTATCATACCGCTCTTTTTACCTTCCATATTCTCTAGTTTATCCATTTCTTTTACGGTACTTATGGTAACATCTTCTCTTTCATTTCCTTTCATCAAAACGCTGGACAAATTAGCCGTCAATGAGTGCTTGATTGGGGCTTGGTTGTTTTCGGAAGTCAGTGAAGGTTTTAAGCGATTAACTATGGCCTGCTTTAAAAGTGAGTTCGTCGTCCCATTTGCTCTCATAGTTTTCCTGTCTCGCCATGTTGGCTGCATCGTCACGCTGAGAGAACCTTAAATAATTCTGCGTTACCCATGTGGAAAGCCGTTATTGCTTACTTGTTAAACTAGACTCCTTCACAATACTGCGGCGACTAAAGTTAATGTTACTTGTAAGGAGTGAAACCTTGCATGAACTTCGAGAAGAAAAATTTTGAGAACCGAAAGGGCTTCACAACAATATATATGTAGAGGGTGAACCACGCAGTGATAGCGGTGCTGCTAATCACGAGCACAGTGCTGACTTGACCACGATCCAGGCTCCGCAAGTCACCTATCCCTTCGGAACCGGAGAATTGGTACCAGACTTGGCTAGGATCAGCTAACTTCCTCCCGATCATGTAGGAACACCCTAGCGCGATTATTTCATAGCTACAGAGATGACTGACTTGATCAGCTGTCAACATAACGAAAACGGAGATTGTCAAAGAACAGTCGAACTTACATAAGGGTTGTGGTGAATAAAAGGACAAGGCAACGAGCGAATAAAAGATATGTTGGAAGGCACGATTATGCGTATATATATATATATATATATATATATATAAACATATATGCATATATGTATACATATACACATGCGTATATATACATATAAACACATATACACGCATATGTATACACACATACACATACACTTGTATACATATATAATCATGAATTGACAGAGCCTAATGAGCAGATTTCCCCTATAACAGTGACGAATGGAGACTTTACTGGAAACGGTTCGAATTACTCGATGGTCAAAGCAGTTGCTGTAAACAACTGTATACGCTCTAATGACTTGATACAACTAGTTTTTTTGCGGTATCGAACCATGGCATATACATATATATCCATATATATGTATATATAGGTGGTGAGAGCACGCGTGTGGTGCAGTGGTTGGAGGCACCACTGCGACACACACGTAGAATCGATTCCGTGCCCATGGCCCACCAAGCCTTCCATACCTCCGGGGTCAGTAAATTGGTAGCAGACTTGTTTGGAAGGATAGCAGCACTAGCTCCATACATCGGTAAGCCACCGCAAGTCATTGTAAAGGTTAAATGTGCATTCAATCACCTCTAACGATGCTTAATGAAGTCGAATGCATAGCGCATCCCTCAGGGATTGATCAACGCCGAAAGTTTTATTCTCCTCCACACTGTCACCTAAGCTGAGAATTTTGATCTTCTCATAGAGAAATTCAGTTGAAAGTTAACCCGTAAAAGGAATATTCGCCATTTGGTTGTCAAATAGTTAACGAGATGAAGCACCCTTTCCAGAACCACAAAGACTGATTTCGAATCTTGGTGACGATTAGGAAATGCTCTGTCGCGGGTTTTTCACAACTTCAAAAAAAATCGTTCAAATCGAAAATCTTACAGTCGAATATAAAATCTACTGAGTCCCAAATATCGTATTTCGCCGACAATTAGCAATCCATGCAAGCATAACACATGTACCTGGATCTAGCCTCATAGGTCCTGTATTGCTCTGCAAGAGATTCGACGTGGTCCGTTGCTGCATTTCTTTCATGCTGGAAAAATTCTAAGTGAAAATGTGACAAGTATTACCTGTTTGTTGCTTACACTCAGAAACACGAAGTTTTACATACGGTCAAAAATTAAGGGAGATCCACCAAACGCCGATAGTGTCCACAAGCCTATTTTTCAAAGTGTTAGGGAACTGCAAGAAGTGTATGAAAAAGATAGAAATTTCTGGCCACTTTTAGTCGATTATATTACCAAACTGAAGCGCCTGTAGAGCAGTGGTCGGAGGTGTCGCTGCAATGCACATGGGATCGATGCGCGCGCCCCATGCCCACCAAGCCCTCCATTCCTTCGGGGTCGGCGAATTGGTACCAGACCTGTCTGGAAAGATAGCAGCACTGGCTCGATACATCGGTAGGCCATCGCGAGTCATTGTAAAGGCTAAATATGCATCCAATCACCCCCAACGATGTTTAGTGAAGTGAAATGCAAGAAGCATCCCTCAGAGATAGATGTACGCCAAGAGCTTTGTTTTTATTTTTATCTCACTGAGCTCTGTACATTTCCAACATTGTGCTTTCAATTTAACGAGCAACTGATGGCTCGAGAAGTCCAAATTGAACCATGTTTTCACTGAATAATTTGTAAAATGACGAACTTAAGTTTCTTGTGTTGAATTTCTTAACATCGCCATGAAAACCCATGTTCTACTGAAACTTTGGTTAGCCAGTATGATGGAGCAATTAATCAGTAGTTACTGACTTGTGTGGAAAGGGCTGACGGCCACTGGTGGTTGTGGTGTTCAGGCCTGAAGCGAACGTTTGAAGAGAGTGGGAGGTTTGAAGTGGCTGCTGGAAAACTTTGGGAGATTAATATCAATGGAACAATCAACGGAGTAATACTTGAGAATGAGCAAAAAAAATCGATAAGCACTGAGGTTTCAATGACAGTAATAATAGTACTATAATAGCACACTGTCACTATGGGTGCAAGTAGAAATGGGCTGAAAACTTGTAGTTAGGAAATCCAGCAAATTTGATAGTAATGTAATAGTCTTTTGAAAGCATTTCCAACCATTTCACCTGAAATAATTTATTGCGCACCTTTGTCCCTCACCTGCGTAGGTTGTCGTCCCTCACTAACCGCAGCTTGTACCCATTCCGGATACTTGTAAAGGCAACATGATCGAATTTTCTTTGGTAAAGAAGGCGGATCCTCCCTGACTTTGGAAATAGAAAATAAGTATAAAATGTTTTTTTGAAACGAGTAATTTATGCACTTGAGATTCGACATCGATAGAGCGTGTAGAAATAATAAGAAAAAGAAGTTGTGGTCAGAAAAAAAAACTTATGTAATGACGGAAAACGGTCTATTTATTTTATTGTCTGTTCTCTCATCGATTTTTGAAAAGTTGAAACAGAGGCTCTGTAAAGAGCCTAAATGTAGACATTGTTGTTAAGCTGTACTAGTTCATTGATGGTTTAAACGCATCAGCATGCAGTTCAAACTCCTTAGCTTAACATCGCTCAACAATTAAGCTAAAAGCTAATTTTTCTATCCATGCCATTCGAACGGATAAGCATCCAGCTTCGCTGAACAGCTAAAATTCGAAAATTAGCTGACTTCAAATGGTAAATTCCTCGAAAGGTGCTTGGAAGACAGCGATAAGTTAAACCAACAAAAATCATCGCGATGGTGCTCGGGAAGAGCATTTTACTGGAACTGCACAGGAATATTAGGAAAACGGAACTACCATTAGCAACTTAAGGCGTAGAATTATTTTTAGTCTCATCCAATCTGCTTGCTATCTCTTTAAAACACTTCGCATATAACACTCGTATCCTGTTGCACTATATATTATATACGTAGTATACACATAGTGCATACACATTCTATATGCTCTACATACCATGTATATGTATGTACATGCTATATATATATATATATATATATATAAATAGTTGTAGAATATCTTTGTGTATTTTCAGGCTCACGTGAAGTAGTCATGATTTTCAGTTTCCAGTTTCAGTTTCTCAAAAGAAAATTTGCAGAATATTTGCACCTGATGGTGAACTTGTTCAATGAATACCACGTGGACTCCGCCCTTGGCATACCGCTTTCAGAGCTTTTCCTTTTCACCTTCTTTCCAACAGCAATCTGAAGACCTTTGTGCCTTAGGAGATAATTTTCGTAATATTTTAGAAAACGTGATCACTGTTAATAGTATGCAATTTCCACTACCTTTCAGACAAATGCACAGTACCGCATCTCCAATGCGTATGAAATGTCGCTTAAGTTGAAAGGTGTTATTGTCAAGAACAGTTTCACCTTTTGCATCCTCCTCAAACGGTCTGACATTTTTTCGTTTCTAATTTTTGTTATTCCAGCTTTTAGCTTTCTCTATTTTTAAATGTGCGGTCATTGATAATAATTGGCTTATTTATCTAATATCGACTAACACTCGAACTATATTTTTGGAAGAGGACAAAGACAAGTAATGTGCAATCCGCCAGGGATTAGGATGGCCAATGTAATCACAAGAATGAGCCTACCGAGGTGTAGGTTAGTGTTTTTCATGTCCGTAAGTGTGATTCCGATCCATCAAACTCGGAGAAGCCCTTACGACTTGGTTTGCCCTGAACTTGAGATCAAAGCAATTGCTTGATTGATTGATTGAGTCGTTCCAGGAGATATCATCAATATGCATTTTTATGATAGTAATAGCTTGTAGTTGAAAACAGCGGCCATAAAGATTATGACAAATTTGTAGAGAAGAAGCGATTGCATCTGTGAGCATCAATTTTTTCGTTGGCCTAAAGATCCAATCAAGACTTCTTCTATTGAAGAAGGGTGCATCTCCTTAAAGAAAGATCTTTCCATATCTTTTATCTTGATTTCTAAGTAATTTCAAGACTCCAAAAAAGTGATGACACTTCGCTTAGACCAGAAGTATTTTAAAGAAGAAGGTGCCACACAAGTGTCAGTGAAAGGATATACAATTAGATCGAGGAAAAAAGAACCGGCAAAGAAATTTTCACTTCTATTGAATGACCAGAATGGAGTACGAAGGGATGGAGTCTGTGTATTCCTGTGTAGCGTGTTTGTCATCTGATTGAAGCGAGCAATACAGAAGTGGAATACCGTACTATACGGTTTTGCCTTAAAAATATATGTTTTCTTTCTACATTTCGTAGAACGGAAACCACTCCATATTAGAATCTTTATTTAAAACGAGCGAGAACATCGAAATAAAAATTAGGACTCCGAGGTGAAATTAAATCGCATTCATCTGCTACTCGTTAAAGGATTTTTTCACGAAAAATTCTAGAAGATCAGAGCACTTCACCAGAACATTCTGGACACTGTTTGAGCTTGGAAAGATCTGAGGAAATAATAAAAAGCAAAGGTGCTTAGCGTTGATCAATCCCAGAAGGATGCTCCATGCATTCTACTTCACCAAGCATAATGAAGGTGATTTCATCTGTATGAGGTCCATTCAGTAACTTGGATTGCCGATGTAAC